CGTGGCCGGCATCTATGCAAATTTACTGGAACAAAACAAAGCGTTTGCATAAGAAAGGAAGTCAACTCGCATCACCGCTCGCAGAGGACTACTTTGGAACACCAGCGTGGCCTCGAGTGGCCGCCATTTCATTGTTTTGGAACACCAATATGGCCGCAGTGACGTTCTGTAAAAACACTTTATATACGCCATCCAGGACAAAGTCAGTGGACAGCTTTCAGATTCTGAAGAATCATTCTTTCTAAGACATGCAATCTTTTTGGTCGATTCTCGGCCCTGGCACTAACCAAAAGCCGGGATCGCAACTCTGAGACGTCAGAATGGTTCAGAATCGGCATTCACCGTCGACCTGCATACTTCGATCCATTGAGGTCGGTTAGCTCTGATGCATTAATTTGATCTTCGTGGGGTACTAACAGGAAACTGGGTGGCCTGTGAGTTAGCGCTCCGTTTCGACAAGTGAGCGAGGCAGTAGTGCGAGAACGCGTGAGAAGCTTTCCTAGCTCTCAAGTCTCCTTTCGCGTACTGCTCACGCGCGACTTCTCTAAATATAGAGCTTGTTCGCAGGCAAGAAACAAACTTGCAGGAAGTTGTTTTTATGGAAAATACAACTGCCCAAAATTTCTTTTACATGTAGCCACGATATCTCAATGGAAGCTTAGCAAGCGACTCAGCTAAAATTAAAGAGGTTTCAAGGGAATAACGATTTATCAACGGAAGATGTATTTTGGAGGAAACATCATTGGGTAGGCTTAGCCACAAGTTGCCAATAAAGTCCCAAAAAGTTGCCGATAAAACTGTCTAAAAGTTGCTGTTTTATTTTTAAAGTTGCTGAATTGCCAAAAAGTTGCCGAAAAGATGCTATTTTTCGTTACTTGTTTGCACTTGAAGTTGGTCTTGTTGCGGTTTAGATCGTGCACAGTATAAGTAAGTTTTATTCGCATAATTTTAAACAAAACGTTATTAATTAATAGAACGCAAATTCAACAGTTGAATTAATCGGGACTTCATCTGCACGTTCTTCCCAGCTGGAATCTGAATCACTCACAGTGTTGTCCGCCATCTTGAAAAACGTGTCATGTGACACCACTGACATCATGGACAGGCGTGCAACACCAAGCTGGCATTGGTAATTAAGCCAGTCCTGGATTCCACACACTCACACTGAGTATAAACCAGTTGAATTTAGCTGACTTTTCTTTCGAAAGCTAATAAATGTCGCGAAAAAAGTAAAAAATAATTTTAAAAATGCTAAAAAAAAATCGAAAGTTGCCGAGAATTTTAAAAGTTGCCGAAAATCGCAAAAGTTGCCCAAAATCTCAAAATTGCCGAAACGTTGCCGAGCAACTTCTGGCTAAGCCTACTATTGTGCCCCTAAACCATTAGCATTTATACAAACTGATCTTCATTTGAACTTTCAGTAGTGATTAAAATCATGGTGCTCCGGTTGTAAAGTATTACACAGATTAAGAATGAGGTTTTTCGGTATTTCCAGCGAAGCGCGCCGTCAAGGAGTCACGTGATCAGGGCGTTACCGTCAGGTCTGCGGTTTGAGGTCCACGTTTGTACGGCTAGACCGCCCAAGAGGTAAGTGATTTACCGCAAGCCGAGATCTTTTGCACCCTAAAACATCACAATTCCACGTTTGAGAAGAAATAACAACTTTTTGGAACTCTTTTACGTATTGATTGTCGAATTCTATTTCAAAAAAACGTAAGTACTAATGTTGTAGACAATTTCTCAGCTAAAATAGGAGTAAGTCCCAAATATGGGTAGACGGGTAACGTGAAACCGTTAACCGCAAACCGCAGTTTGTCGACGTATAATTTGCAGCAAAATGACCAAACCTTAATCTTAAGGTCTCCTACTTTATGGTAAGTCACCTCGGTATCGAGCTCTGAATCCAAAATCCGTTGGTCCCGCGCTACTCGATGAAAACGTCAAGTAAAGATTATTCGTAGTACTGAGCGCATAAGGTCCAGGCAAAATTTCTCCACTGAATCTGCCAATCAGATTCGATGAGGCCGACGTGCCATCGTACACACTAAGGTAATCAGAGGCTTTGGTTTTGAAAATGGAGAAGACCAGTTCCAATATTGTATTTGATGATAAATTCCATTGGCAGGTAATGTTGTTCCCGTACGTCGATGACAAACTTGACTGAATTATTCCACTCAACTTAGAAGTGTCGCTAACCAACAGGCGGGCACAGGAGCTTGACGCTGTAACTAATGGGACTGAAAATGGAAGAGTAACGACAAGGAATTAAAGGGGGGGGAGTTCAAATCTCATTTTACTTTTTCAGGTCGATTGTCTGAAAGACCCCTGAAGGTTACAGCGGTAACTCCGAGAGAAGAAAAATTAAATCTATTAAGCACCTTTTTGAGCGATACTAGGTAGGTACGACAAATTTTTGGGGGCCCACTATTGACGAGGGTTACGACTTGCAGAGCATTTCTTGTTTTACCACTCGTGTCTTGTCTTGTCTCAATGGTTCTTACTCGTAAGGTGGTCCCTTGGTCGCAAACGGCCAGAAATAGGGAATGACCTTCAAAGCATTGACGCCCAACTTCTGAGAATGATTTTTGTGTGTTTAAAGGAGGGGCGGGGGGAATCCGACTTAAATTATGTCGACTCCTGCTGAAAGAAGTCGGATTCCGTTTTTTTTCCAAGTCACCTGTGTCCCTGACTGAAGAGGAAAAATGTATTTTTCATATATTTCCCAGGCTTAGATGCACCCTCAATCGACATTCTGTACACGTGAGCCGGAGCAGTCTATCGGCAAGTATGGCGGTGTGCAGTTGAGACTAAGCTTTCCGTAACTGTAGCCCAGGCCCTGTTCCTAACACTTTCAACTTCCCCCGCACCTGCACTTGTACAAGCCTTGCGTCATATGAACCTAGATCATTCTTCCACAAGTGCAGATCCCTTGTAGCTAACTGGTAGAGCACCAGGCCTAAGACTGGTAACCAGAAGGAAACAAGACAAAACAAACCATGGTTATTAAACACAGTTTTCTTATCTTACCCCGGCATTTTTTGCCATCTCCAGTAAAACCAGCTTGGCATAAACAAAGATATGAGCCTTCATTGTTCTGACAGGTAGCGTTTTGGTCACAAATGAAGGGAACGGCGCTGCACTCATCAATGTCTGTTTAAGGAGAACAAGACTAGTCGATAGGGAGTTAAAGCCGCGACGTTTTGGAGCGAAGCACGTCAACCAGAAGTAAGCTTTTTTCTCTTTTAATATGCCTTGACAATACCAAATTTTATTGCTAAGTGTCTTTACACTTATAGAGACGATTTGCCCAAGAATTTGTTCAAAATCAAGGACGAAGAGTGCAAAAATTCCTCTTCCGCTAGACGTGCGTCGCTCAAAAACGTCGTTGCTTAAACTCTCAAACTCCCTATTTCCAAATCAACTTAATAAACAAATAAATAAAAAAGAAACATTTAAGAAGTAAAATCAACTACGAATTTAGAAGATGGGAATCACATGTTGTAAATGAAAGACACAAGAAATGAGATTCCTGTCTTTTCGTAATATTTGTATTCGAAGTGCCCGCGTGTTTTAAATACACTGAAGCTTCAAAGGCCTGCGTGAGGCAAAATCAATTTAAATGTCTTTTTCGAAAGAAGACTAATCCACAGCATCCTAGGCTATGCAGTGAAGAAAGTGAAGTTTGGTCACGAGACAAGTCATGTCATCAGATCAGTATATACTGATTTAAAGAAATAACTTGAGTGAAACAGTGGCGTTCTAAAAACCCGAACGTCTGTACCAAATCAAGTCGAGATTCACTTTTTCCTGCCAAAGTTACACCTATAAACCATAGAAGGAACGTTCCGCATTATCCTAGATCGTTTGCTTATTACTTTAATCTGTTTTGAGAAATAGAAGCTTCGACAACTCACAAACCTTGGCACGTTTTCCCATCACCAGAGAATCCATTCTTGCACTTGCAGGCATAGGACCCATTGGTATTAGTACATTGGGCATTGACGTCACAGACAGGCAGGGAAGCGGTACACTCGTCAACATCTGAATAAACAACAATAGCATTTATGTAGCGCTTTCTGATTGGCCAATGAGGCATAATATTTACAATTTGTCATAGTTACCGGTTTGTATTTTACAATGGCGCTGAAAATTACTGGAAATAAATACTGGGGACGCTTTGTAAAGTTATTATAATAGCATTAATTCCTTTTCATATTGAAAATAAACAGGAGCCGAAATAAAATAAAATAAAAAAAATGCATAAAAAAAAGCATAAAGCATTCTGTTTGGCCGATGAACTCGTTAGGAGAGAAAAGAGGCTTCTTACGCCCAAACTGCTCACCCAGATTGAGAAAATGCGCTTGTAAAGGATATTTGTATATTTTTCATAGAATAATACAAAGCTGAATTGTTCTCGATTAGAATGTAAATTATACTCTGTTCGGCCAGGAGACAATAAATCGGCTCCTGTTTCGGCAGGGTTTTAGACGACGCAATAGAGAGGTTTACGTGTTATGGAAGTACTGATTAGGAAAGATTCGACTGTACTTGCCTTCAGTGTTCATGTCACAATAAGCCAGAACAGGGATACCAGGCTTTATGGTGCTTAGCCAGTATTTTTTGCTCACCGCTTGTTCTTCACTCGCTTTAATTTCTTTACACGTTTCCGCTGGCAGCTCAGAAATAGAACCGAGAGGTGCTACAATGAAAAGGTGACATAATAAATTTATTTATTATGTCAATTTATTATGCATTTTTTTTTTTTACAGTAATTTTGTTTCCCGAGAATCTCAGTGTTCGCTGAGGGAAACATTGAGAAGCGACGGAAACAAAATAAACTGTTTCCCAAGGGGCCAAGGGATGATTTTTTATATAGCTGGAAATTTTGAAGACGGAAATTCATTAATCCTTGCTGTAACTGCAGTCGTCGACGGTCCGCATTCGCGGGTAACAGTGCACTCTTACCCTCTAAAGTCATAGATTTTGCAACGTTGCCGCTCAGAGATTTTGGCGGGAAACAGTTTCATTGTTAGATGTCATGTGACCTTGAAGTAACTAATGAGAGAGCGCGCTTTTGGAAATGAATTTCCCGCTATATAACAATGATTGTCATTTTCATAAACGGTTCCCACAATTCTGTAAAGAAACACACCAACTTAAGGCCTGGATTGAAAAAATACAACGATCTGAATTCGTGTAATCACTGATGTGAAATGCGAGAAAAGGCTGCTCCTCACAACATGCAGTGCTTAGAGATCCTGCCCAAACGAATCCGGATAAGATATCCTGAGATTTTTCACATCCGTCCACATGTAGCCTGCGTGGCAGGCGTTCGAAAGGGAGAGGGAAGGGAATTAGGGCGCGAGACCACACGCGAGGGCCACGCCCCACGCGCCCTCGCGCGCCCAAATTTCCCCTTCCCCTTTTAACGCCTGTCACACACGCCCGTCCACATGAAAACGCTAAAACGATGGAAATACGATAGCATCCCTTTCAGACAATGCGTAGTGCTAGAGGTATAATATGATCATCGTATGCGAAAATCTTCGTTTTTTGCCCGTCCGCAGGTAAACGAGAAGCCGGCGTATTCAAAAGTCTCCATTCTCAGGGGACCGTTTTTGAAACGTTATTGTCTTCTAATGCATGTACCAGGAAGACTCGCTTGTGGATCACTTGCGCGGGTATTCTACATTAGTATACAAAAAATAAATACGGTAATTGTATGATGACATGGCACTTTTTTTCTGACTGTATGGCTTCGTTTTCCTACACCAACGTGCGAGTTCAGTTTACCTCGATTCATGCCTCGTTTGTAGTAAAATCTGTCTGGATCGGGAACAAAATCCTCCGGTCTGGCTTCTTTGGTTCTATCACTGAATTCGCACATGTTGGTAGAGATAACCCAATTGAAACTTTGGCATCTCTTGTCTTGACGACAGATTAGTACGCATTCAAACCCGAAATTAGCCATCGTTGTCGTGTATACATGTCCTTGCAGTTTCCAGCCGAAGATGGATGACTCGGATCCACCTTTAGTGCATTGTTGAGCGAGCACTCTGTTAAATATAAAACTTAGAACAAACAGCAATGTGATGTAGACGGTCAGTTTTGCTGCCATTGTTTTGGTCGATGATCTGACTCAGAGATCTGAAAAGAAAAACATTTCGTCTAAATAATGACGAAAAATGGTATTTAATACAAACGGAGTCAATGAAGCCACCTGGGCACTGGACCCTAAGAAGCTGAAATCTCGATAGCCAGCCTCTCGTCTTACTCAGAGCAAATCTAGCGCACCAAAAGAAAAAAAAGAAAAAAAAACGGCATTATTAAAAGCTTTTGTTGTTGTTGTTGTTGTTGTTGTTGTTGTTTTTGATAAAATGTCTCTAGTATTAAGTTTCTGTACCAGCCTGAGTTAATAAATCCAAAGCCGAAGCTGCATTTATCTTTTCTCCGTTAGAGAAGATTGTTTTTGTTCAAAATGCTTGCGCACTACTGTAATATAATGAGATAGCGGGCTTGAACCAATATCAGCCGAAGATTCTTGTTAGTTGTATGCAAGTTGGTCTCTCATGATATTGACCTTGCGTAGTTCACTAAATTTGTTACAGTAAAAACCCTTGAGTAAGAACCTGTTAGGCTTAAAATTTGTCAGTTAGGCATCCTCTATACAAGAACCCATTTAGCCTTAAATTTGAAACAGGTTCTTATTTTCAAAAATCCTTAAAAAAAATTGTGTACACTTGGGCAACAGGACCTCAAAATTCATGTGATCAGCGCTTCAGGACCCATCAGTTCATCTTCTCATGGTCGTTTTATGCATAAAAACTCATTTTGTATACACGAGATGTTATAAAGAAAAAGCTGAATAGAACTTAATACTCTTAGCTTCCATATATTTTTTCTTCAGAAAATAAGAACCTTTGTTAGTAAATAAGCGGATATTAGAACCTAAACAAATTTATGCTAATCGTCATTTATATGTAAGAACCTGTTTAGGCTAAGATGGGAAAATGCAGACCCTTACAAGCGGGTTCTTACTGCATTTCTCTTTTAGTCCCATATAAAACTACTCGGTCTAGTGGTAGACTAAAGAAAATTGATAACCGAGGCAAATGAATTCCGCGCTTTGAAAACGTGTTGTCTATCAAGTTTCTATTGCAGGCAGCTTGTTACTTGCGCCATCTTGATAGTATTTGTATTGAATACATAGTTAGCCAATATCACTGAAAGATTGCAGAATTCTCGATAGTATACGAGTCGGTTTCTACATATTTCCTTCCCGTAGTTCCCTGCATTCGTTATTCCACTTTTAGTCTCATATAAAACTACTAGGTCTAGCTAGTGCTAAACAAGGAAATGTGGATTACTAAGACAATAAGTGTCCCGCATCTTGAATTAAAGGTGGCTCCGTCAGGTTTCTACTACAAACAGCTTGCTACTTACGAAATGGAACCTGCAATACATTGTGACTACGTTAGCCAATATCACTGACAGATTGCAGAATTCTTGCTAGTGTGCAAGTCGGTTGTTACTAATTAACAATTATTCCTCGAGTCCGAATGGGCTCTGAGTCAGATAATTGTTTTAGTAATATAAAATCCAACTAGTTGGTCAAAAATATCGAGAATAAAAAAAAATTAGCTGGTTAAAGCTAGACTTTAATCCTTTTTTGCCGCGAAAAGGCGCGCGCTTTAATTTTTGCCACTAGTAGGCTATAACATATAGCCTAGTAGTAGCTCAACCAATCAGAACGCAGCATTGTTAATAGACCACTAGGTGGATTATACTCTACGATGCGCTCAGCCTTAGTGGCTATCTTTTGCGGTATGGCTAATACCTTAAACTGAAAAGTTGCCACATTAATAATAACACATGTCCTTGCGGCAAGAGATTCGATGTTGATCATGCAGTGTCAAGTATGAAAGGCGGATTTGTCGATAGGAGGCATGACGAAGTGCACGACCTGTTCACAACCCTTCTCAAGGACGTATGCCATGATGTTGAGGTCGAGCCACACCTTCAGACCTTGACAGCCGAGAAGTTTAACCAGCAAGTGCCAACTCCTCTGATGAAGCTCGTTTGGATATCAGTGCCCACGGTTTTTGGAAAAGGAGGCAACGTGCATTTTTCGATGTCGGGTTTTTAACCCTTCCGAAAAGAGCCACCTAAACCAGAAACTTGACACACTTTCTCGAGCAATGAAAATGAGAAAAAGCGACACTACAACCAGCGAGTGTTATTGAGGGCGAGCATGCCTCCTCTGTCCCTCTTAGTGGGGCAAAAATCACAAATGAGATCGGAAAAGCAGGGGCGGATCTAGGGGGAGGGTGCAGGGGGTGCGCACCCCACCCCCCTGAGATGACCTGCGGTCTCTAATACAACTGGTATTCTGCAGTGGTTTAATGGTGTTGAAGTAGCGCAAGAGACGAGTGCACCCCCTCCTAAAAAAAATCCTGGATCCGCCCATGGAAAAGTAAAGTAGACACGTTTTGTTTATTATCATTTTTTAAGCGCTGCATAGAGTATTTTAACCCCAGCCAAGAACTTTTTATATTTTTTTCCGAAATAGTTTTTTTAACTATGGATTTGTGATTAACTTTCATCTATGGTTGTATACTCTGATCTCTTATCGGATGATGTTTTAATAAGGTTTTATTATTTGAAAACGCCGGCTTTTTGATTTACTTTGAACAAAAATACTTTGTAGAAGGAATTTTTCGAAAACGGCTATCAAAGGAATGCGCTTTAACTTAATCCGCGTTGGTGGGTGGAGGTTTTTATCCAGCCTTTTGAAGTTTCACTGTTTTTTGCAAGTTATCCGAATTAATGTGGACGGGAGCTTTATTAGCTTGTCCGGCAGAGAGGTTTGTTTCCCTTTATTTCACGGACTGAGAAACTTGAGCTTCATTACTAAAGAGTTGGCAAGAGCTGCAAACGAACGCAAAAATGAAACAATAAATGATTCGCCTTGATTATGAAAAAAGGGATTATGCCATTACAGTTGTGATTGTAAATTTAAAATCTTCTGACAAGACTCGCTTACATTTGCCACTCTTTTTATAGCGGAGCTCCCGCGCGCGCGAAGCGCGCGCGCAGCGGAGCACCATGGGTAAGAAAATTTGGTAAACTATCCATCCGAGAAAATTTGGTTATGACGTAGCGTACGCCCGTCCGTACACACACTTTATGTAAGCCGATGTCAAATGTCACAATAGATCTTGCACACCTTGACTAGCCTCTTAGTTATGTAAGCCATCCGTATGAGTACGATTAGATTGACAGCTGTCAAAATCAACCATCCGCTGACAATTATCACATGAGCGTCTCGCGGGCTCAGATAAAAGACCAGTCGTTTTGCCCCTATATATAAGCTGATATAAAATGTCACACTTACCAATTCAACATAAAAACGAAACTACGCCGGGCAAGGCTGTCAGTTGGCTGACAGTCGTTTAAAGTTACATTGGCAGGCCAAATTAAGGTCAATTGACAGCTGTCAAAATGGGACATGTGCAGACCGCTTTCAGAAAACTAATAACGAGGGCTCAGGTTCCCTCAGGTACACGATCTGGCATTTTCCACTACATGCCGGACGGAAATGTCCTACTCACACCCGTAGTCTGTTAATTCGAATATTCGCCATTCTAATGAAGGTTAATTGACAGCTGTCAAACTAGAGTATACGCTGACCATCATCACCTGAGTGGATCGCGGTCTCATTTTTCTATCTATTGAGGTCACGTAGTGTTTAAAGTTTTGCGCTGATATTTTATTTGATCACGGGCTCAATTCGAAGCCCCATAGCTTTATAGAGAATCTATCCATCCCAGAAAATTCGGTAATCACGTGACAGTACACCGACCACCCGACCTTCCGTCCGTCCGCACCACAGGCATACCAATGTTTAATCTCACACTTTCTAGCTAGTTTGGGAGCCTGCAACCTGATATTAAACATCCATGTTTTGATTAATTGACAGCTGTCAAAACAGTGTTTCTGCTGACCAGTATCGCCTGACCGTATCGCGGGCTCAGGTATCGACCCTCTGAGTTCGAGTAATATTTTGAAGGTATTCGCTGACAAGTTGCTACTTTTCAAATGATCGCAGGCTCAAGTTCAATTTTTTTAAAATGCATATGAAATAAGTCGTGTTTCATGAGCCGCACTTTTAAAATGTTGATTTCGAACTGATCTCGGACACGAAAATTCAACCGGCTTTTACATTTACATGCAGGGAAGGCAATCGCTTTTGACTTTTCTCACTGTCACGCGTTGATCACGCTCTACGTCCAATTTTTATGTTCTGATTGGTCAAAATTTTATGCGGAAAATTTTTGCAGCGTCTGAAACTTGCTTACTGATAGCTGGAGCTGAGAGAGTTTTGTGTCATCTTGTGATGTTTTAAACTATCTTTTTCTACTTGGTGTACAAAATGAAATACAGCTGCTATCAAGATTGTTCTGTAATTCGTGGCTGGTTTGTTTATTGCGCTTTTTGTTGACAAATGCACCGCTTGTCAAAGTCATTGGAAATCTGATTTCGGATGGCATCGTTTTCAAAAATGAGCTTACTCACTTGCCCTTGCTTGAGGCGTAAGAAGGTTGAAAAGTCTCAAGCGATTCTGGAACACTTGATGACCTTCAGAAGCAGCATCTCGACTGGTAAGCTTGAGCCATTATTGTTTTTGATGTTTTTTTTTTCGGTTTCCTGAAGTCGAGCGTATGGTTTATGCGGCTTAATTAAGTTAAAACACGAGCAATGATCTAACCTACAATAGTATCAGGTTTAAAAAGCCTTTAGACATATTTTGACCCGCAAATTCAAAGAAAAGGTTCCGAAGATTATTTAGTTATGATTTTGGCTGTAAACAGAAAGCTCTGAGCGATTTTCTTGCCTCGAGTTCATCTTGAAAAAGGGCGAACATCAGGAAGCCGGCTTAAAATATAAATAAGCTTATGCTTGCCTGACTCATTATTTTCTGAGACACTTTACTCTCATTCTCTTCGTGAATGAAAATTATTGTCTCTGTACATGTTTCACCGAATTAAACTTATTTTATTGATTGTTAGTAGTCCCTCTCGCAATTTTCATCGCTGCACCGGTTGTTTCCAGTCGAAC